TCTGTTATTCTGTGCTTTCAACCAATACCCACCTGACATCAGCAATGATATCCCATGTTCTGCATCCTCTTCAGAATCCAGCCTAAACCCCTAGAAGCTCCCTGTCAATGTTCTACTGCCACCATTATTGAATTATCTTCAAAATTTTATTTGCATGTGATATGATATTGTTCTATAATTTGAGCATGCTGTTGTGTCTTCTTTCTTTGAAATGGATATAAATATTGATCTCCTCCAATCAGTTGGCCACCTAACTGTCTTCCAGATTTCCTGCAATAGATTAGTGAGTGCAAGAGGCATCAAATAAATGTGAAAAGAATTCACAGATCCACTGCACCAAAAAGAACTAGCCGACATTCAATCACATTAAAAGGTGGCATATGAAGGACAAAGTTCAAGCTACACTGAAAGCATTAGTAAAAATCAAAGCTTCCACATAGTAACAATAATTTAAATAAATAGGTATCTACAAGTCAAAAATCCCATTTTGTCAAGTATAGGATACAGCGAGTAAGTTGAAATGAATCCTAGAACGAGTGCCAAGATTTTTCAGGTGTTCAGCAGTATTAATGCTAACATTTCTTCATTATGTTGGGCCACTTACATTAGAATTCCCTATTCAAACTTCATTTAGGGCTAAAGAGGCTCTCATAGATTGCAGTGTTCTTTTCGGAAGTGCTATGAATGGTCAGAACTCCTGATACCCAGTTTAACCAAGTCCTGTGCTTCAGAGTTCCTCAGGAGGCTGCAATCAAGGTGTCCACAAAGGCTGCACTCTCATTTGAAGGCTGGCCTGAGGCAGGGTCTGCTGCCACTGTCACTGACGGGTTGTTGGCAGGATTCAGTTCCTTCAGGGTCATTACACTAAGGGTCTTAACTCCCTACTTCCTGTTGGCCAGAAGCTCTTCTCAGTCGCTTGGCATGTGGACCTTACCAATATGGCAGTTTTCTTTATCAAAACCAGCCAAAGAATCTGATCATAAGATGCAGGATCACAACCCTTTGTAGGCTAATTATGAAAAGGACTTCCCTCAATGCTGCCATGGCCTATGGATTACAAGCAGATTACACAGAGAGAAGAAATACACAGGCTGTAAATGCCAGAAGGCAGGGATCATTGATGACCATCTTCAAGGCTGCCTGACACATATTCAGCCATAAGTGAAAGAAGGAATGAAAAACTGGAGATGCAAGAAAGAGACAGGAGAAGGAAGAAAGGGAGACTGGAAAGGGAGAAGGCAATAAATGATCCCCCTCCCCCCAAAAAGCCAGACAATTTATCTTTCTAGTACTGCATCTATCCTGAGCATCTGTGTCTGGACACATATTTATCATGTCAGCACCACGACCATGGATTTGCCCTTTCTTATTTAAAATGAGAAGATAATATGGGGCTTTCTAGATAGATAGATAGATAGATAGATAGATAGATAGATAGATAGATAGATAGATAGATAGATAGAAACTGTATGTATAAATATAGTTTAAAGGAAATAGAATAAACATAAGACTACTTAGCAAGTAAAATGTGTTTCTAATTGGTCATTTTTAAGTTAGGCTTTTGGGATATTTTGTTAGTTTTTTCTTTTTCCCTTCTGCTTCAAATTTTGGGGCTGGGTTTATTATTCTTACTGTTCTGTGGCAGCCCTACTATCCAAGTGATAAAGGAACGTGAATCGGGTTTGTATTTGGTATTCTCTGGTTGTTTCTGCTTCCATGCCAAAATTATACTTTGATTCTGTACATTACTATTAAGGATTACATGAGTCATCTAATCGTAAAACCACAGTTGTAAAGTGAGTCATCTAATTGTAACACTAAAGTTGTAAAGTGCTGTGGCGCTCATCTATTCCAGCACCAGTATTTGATGGAAAGGTAAACACCAAATACTGGCAGAGCCAGAACGCAAACCTCTGGATTCCAAACCCAGTGCATTCCTTCCTCTTACCTTCTGCATAACAGAACAGTCAGAATGTGAAGTATTTCTCCTCAAGCCCACCGACATAAAAAATAACTGTGGTTTAAATAAATTTTAATAATCACTACTTTTCTGAGAAATCCCAAAAGCAATGTTTACAGTATCAGCTAATAGAAAAGGACTATTTCCAGAGACTTGACCGTGTAATCCATGGTGGCTGACACTGCTTTGCTATGGTAAGGTGCCTGTCCCCAGCCCTGTGACCTCTTCTTCCCCTGCCATCCAGTCTATTCCAACTCGTCGCCACCCTATATAGGATGTCTGAGGCTGCAAATCTTTTGGGGAGCAAACAGCCTCACCTTTCTTCTGTGAAGCAGCTGGTGGATTTAAATCACTGAACTTGAGATTAACAGTCCAACTCTGACCAACCAGACTGTGCCACCAGATCATCTCTTCTTCACATCAGATCCCCACCTGCCACAACCCCTCAAACAAGAAACTCCACGAGGATTTTTAAAAATATATATTTTGTTCACTGCTTTATGCCTAGAACAGTGGCTGGCACAACATCCAGGTTTCATGAGCATTTGTTGAATGAATGGCTGAATGATGAATTGAAGAGTTATGACTTCCTGCTCCTTGAGAGTTTGCTGCCAGAAGTGAAAAAAGAATGTTTGGGTTATGTGCTTGGAATGTAGGATCAGGGATGTTTATGTGTTTGCTTGCTTGCTGGTTTTCCTAAGTTATCTTTTAAAGTACTCATAAAGATACATCAAGATTGAGAGCCTCCCTGGTGGCCAAGAATGAGAATTAGTACAGAAGGCACATATATTAAGTTTACAGTCAACCTGAAGATTAATCAGATACTCGGCAAAGAAAAAACAAGAAACAAAAACACGTGGGGTGGGGGGAGGAAAACCACTTGACCATATCAAAATGGCCATGGAAGTCAATAGGTCAATAAGAATTAACATACAAAATCTGTTTTGCCCCATGTTTACATGGTGCAGGTCGCATCGGTCAGAGGAATGTTGGCCAAGATCTTGAGCACAGGAAGCATTCTTCAGTCTTCCATTCAGAACTGGCACACGTGGTTGTTAAGTGCAGTCAAGTCACTCCCAACTCACAGCAGCCCTGTGCTCAACAGAACGAAACCCCGCCCAGTTCTGCATCCTCCTCAGAATTGCTCGAACCCATCCTGTCCATCTGTCGTGTCAAGGAGCTTCCTCTAGTTCCTGCCCCTCGCTTTAGCAAGCACGGTGTCCTTTTCCAGGGGCTGGTCTCCGCTGATACCATGTTAAAGTACATACAAAGTGAAAAGCAAACGCACTGCCCTGCAGCCAGTTCTGATTCATGGGGACCTTGTTGGGCAAAGTCGGATTGCTCCTGTGGCTTTCTGAAATGGTAACTTTTCTTAAACATCATTTTATTCCGGGCTCTTACAACTCTCGTTACAATCCATACATCAATTGTATCTGACATATTTGTACATATACTCCATCATTCTTTTCTACACATTTACTTTCTTTTGAGCCCTTGGGATCAACTCCTCTTTTTTCCCCTCCCTCCTTCCCCCTCCCTCCCAACCCTTGTGGCCCCTTGATAGATTGTAGATTGCTAATTATTTTCAGATCTCACACCGACCACTGTCTCCCTTCCCCTCTGGTTTCTGTTTTTTTCCTCCTGGATGGAGGTGTGTAGTTATCTGTCATTCGTTGTGATCGGTGTCCCCCTTCCCTCCCCCCACTGCTCCCAATCTTCCCCCTACCCTTTTGGTATCTCTAGTCCCATTTCCTGGGTTCTATGTGTTGTGCATTTTATCTCTTGCCTCTACCTATGCACATGCTCCTGTCTAGTCTAGATTGGGAAGTGGCACAGGGGTCATGATAGCAGGGGTGAGGAGGCCTCAAGGCCTCTACTGAACCCTGATTGACTCATCCCCTTCCTGCGACCCCCCTGGGGGGGATATTCCATTGTCCACAGATGGGCTTTGGTCTCCACTCCAACCCCCCTCCATTCTCACCAATGCATTTTTGTTTGGTTGGTTGTTTACTGCTTGTTGTGAATCTTCTGGTGTCCGTTGCCCGGTCTCAATGACACCTCACAATAGCACCAGCTGGTGTGCTTCTTCCATGTGGGCTTGTTGCTTCACTGTTGAATTGCCACTTGTTTAACTTCAAGCAAAACTATCACTTTTTATGAGAGTATAAGCCTCATCTTTCTCCCATGGAGCAATTGATGGTTTTGAACTGCTGCCATTGCAGGGTGCAGTCCAATGTGTAATTGTTATACTGCGCAGAAATTGTTTCTAGATTTGGTGGTTACTTAATGAAATTACTGACTGAACCCTTGAAAGATGATAAAAACATAAGTGACTTTGTTCAAACGCTATCAAAATTAAAATGACCCTAGATTAAATGTTGTGGTCTCTACACTACATCTTGCTGGCCCCCTAATTTCAGAACAGCTGTGGTGGGCAGTGCCAGCACACATATTGCTGGGCACATTTCAAGTGCCTGTGTAGGTGTCCCGCAAGGAAGGGGCAAGTATCCTCAGCCCATGTACAGGAGCAGCCTGGACACATATGGGCATAACCCCCTCAGCGCAACCCTCAACCAGTGGATGACAGGAATTGATAGATAAATGGCCTACTCCTATTCTTCTGTTGGAGATGGAGAAGCACATGGCTCTGCCTGAGGGGCCTCAATAGTGTGAGTCCCAAAGGGCCACTGCAGTAACCAGTTCTCATATTCAATAACATATCTCTTTATTTTTCCACTTCTAGTTCCAGTCTTTCCAATAACTTATCCCTATCCAAATTCTTGTCTCTAGTGTTAGTTTCTTAAAGAGGGCTTAATAAATAATACTTGAAATGAAAACAAACTGTTTATCCTTGCAATCAAAGACTGGCAGGGCCATTGATGGCCAACAGCAAATTGGACCAAAGAAAACAGATACTGGCATCACTTTCTAGATAGATGCTGTCTTCAACCCCATATTCTTCTTTGGATTTTTAATGTGTGTTTATTTGGGATCATCTGTTACCCTTCTGATTTCATGCCAGTCTTTTTCCCTCCCACAGATTCTTCTGGAAAGCCTAAATTCACCAAGTGCCGTTCACCTGAACTAGAGACGTTTTCATGCCACTGGACTGATGGAGTTCATCATGACTTAAGAAGCCCAGAAACTGTGCAGATGTTCTATAGGAAAAGGTACAAGTGTCCTACCTTTCTGATATTCCTGTCCCTTGGTGCGCTGATGAAAGGATATGAGATTAAAGCATACTGGAGTTGTATGCAGGCAGCCCTGGTGGCATGGTAGGATGCACATTGGGCTGCTAACCATAGGGTTAACAGTTTGAAACCCCCAGCTGTTCTAGGGGGAAAGATGTTAGAATCCACAGGGGCAGCTCTACCCAGTCCTAGAGGGTCCTTGTGAGTCAGAATCTACTATGGCAGTGGGTTTGGGGTTTGGTTTGAAATTGTGTGCAGTAGTATGAATGGAAGTGATTTCTTTTGGTGATCTAAATTATTAACTTATTCATTAGTTCTTAATAATTCCCATTTGTGTTAGTTATTATTCCAGGAACAGTAGATACAGCCCTTATGGTACAATGGTTTAGATCCTGCATTACTGATAGCAGAGTCAGAGGTTCACAGCCTATCAGCTCCTCAAGAGAAAGATGATGAAGATATCTGCTTCTGTAAAGGAATACACCTAGGAAACTATACACGGTTGCTGTGGATCAGCATTAATTTGATGACAGTGGATTTGAAGAAGGGGCTTTGTGTGTTTATTTCTGAAATGCAGAAGGGATTAAAGCAGATAAAGTCTACAGTCTCTTGAAGATTCTTTTGCAAGGAGGAGACAGACAATTTAAAAAGTATAAAATAAAAAGTCAACTCTAATACTTGATGTTAACAAAAATAGTCAATAGGACTATGGGAATGTGCATGTAAGTGTAAGATTGAATGCATGAAAATAGGGTTGGAGTTATGTCAATGTTTAAGTATGTGTGAGAATGGCATGAGAGTGAGAGAGTGAACACATGAGAGTGAGTGAGAGAAAGGACAGAGACTGTGTGTGTGTGTGTGTGTGTGTGTGTGTGTGTGTGTTTGACGACATGTGTATATTTGTATATGTGAGTGCGTCTGAGTGCTTGTGAATAAGACAGTGACCATGAAAATATAAGTGAATGGGTGATTAGGTAGGTGAGTTCAGAGGAAATCTCTACAGTAGAATAAATGAGGTCCTGTGAACATCAGGAAGAAAGACTCCTGAAGCAGAGGAGGAAAATGCAAGTGCAAAGGTCCTGAGGCAGGACCAGTGTGCTTGTGGGCAGCAAGACCAGCAGAGATGCCACAGGTGTGAAATGGGGAGCATGGTATGGGAAGAGGTCAGGGACTCAACCTGGGCCAAAACTGTGCTAAGCCATATAAGGTACAGTTAGAATTTTACTTTGTCTGTGGTAGTAAGCTACTCAGTTTTCTGTTTTGTTTTCTAAGATACATGTTTTAAAAGCCTCAGTTTGGTTTCCATAAAGAGAATAGATTATTTTCCTGTTAAATTAAGAAATTTGAATACTTTTCCATATGTGCCCATGGTATTCTAAAGTAGCTGGTAGAGTGGGAAACAGAGATCTCAATATAATCACCACCTGGTAATTTCTTCTAACACGCATGTGGTATTATTTTCACCTGTTTATCTTTATGTTGGACCTTTTTAACTTTTTAAATGTTTAGACTCAAATACGCATCATTTCTTCTTTTCCACCTAAACCCAAAGGAGGCCTAAACCAAGAAATAGGTTATTGAAGACTTTACCTTAGGGTCACATTACTCTAAGACATGATGCTCCCCACTACCCCTTCTCCTCCCCAAAGCACAGGGAACTAGCAAGGAAACACAGTGAGCAGTGAAAAGCAGGGACTCGGGGCCCACAAGCCAGCGTTCCCCCCGACTGCAGCCCTCGCTCACTGAGTGACCCTGGACAGGGGTGTGAGTCTGTCTGTTCCCAATTTGTCTTCCTACTCTGCAAAGTAGACAGAGCCATCCTGCGAAGAATGTGTCACGCAATACTCGAAGAACACGAAGAATAGTACGTGGCACATAGTGCTAACCTCTCTACCTGTAGTTATAATACCATTTAGGAATACTTTGTCATTGCTATCTTTTATCTTGAGTTATCTTTTATCTTGAGTCAGTCTCTTTTGGCATGTAAAAGAAATGGAACAAGCAAACAGATAGGCAGAGATCGAGGAAGACTGATGCCAAGCTACCTAAAGATTAACCAGGAACGGAATGTCAAGAGAAACAAAGACTTCCCTTCAAAGCTATCTGTGAGAAAATAAATTTCTCTTTGTTAAAGCAACTAATTTGTGATATTTCCATTATAGCAGCAGTAGGTAAGGAAGGAAAACGTTGGTGCTGGAAGAATGTAGCTACTCTAATAGATACCTAAAATGTGCAAGTTATTTTAGAAGTGGGTACTGGGTAGTTTTCAGGCAATTTGACTCTTGGTAGAATTGTGGAGGTCAAAGGCAATTCAGGTGAGGGCACAGAAGCAAGTAAGAATGTCTTTGTCGTCATCACACACATACACACACACAAACAACCAAACTCACTATGAAAGTCAGTTCTGACTCCTAACAACCTTGTAAAGCAGAACAAAACAGCCCAGGGGTTAGGAGGCTGCAAATTTTTAACTGGAGCAGAAAGATTCATCTTTCTTACAAGGAGTGACTTTTGGGTTTGAACTACTGACCTAGCAACACAATGTGTTATCTGCCCGAGGCTCCATCTTAGGGAGAAAAAAAATTATATATATATATATATCCAGCAATAAAATGTTGCTAGAAATGTGAACATTAAATATTATTCTATTAAGGCTTTAGAAGAAAATTATGAACCTATAATTTATAATTGGACGCCGGAGAATTAGGCAAAGAACTTATGTCCAAATGTTTGATAGGAGGTAGAATTTGTAAGTGATAAACTTGGATATCTGGCTAAGGAGATTTCTAAGCAAGAACTTGAAGAGCTACATGATTTCTTTTTGCCAACTAGCGTCAAATGCAAGAGGAAAGAAATGAACGTTAAAAGTAACTGCGCAAAATGAAAACAGACTTAAAGGACTTGCAGAAAAAAATATTTGTACAAACTAAGGACACGTATTCTGGGATTTTCATCAAGGACATGGTTCTAAAATCTTTGGTTCAAAAGAGTAAGTCTGTGACTGCAAGAGCTCACCAACGACTGAAGTAGAACACCCATCAGCAGAGATGGCAGGGAGAGAAGGAGTAAAAGGAGAGGCTGCTGCCTGCTTCCGGGGCTTCTATAGGCAGGGGACCGGCTAAAGGAGCTGATTTTAGACTTACAATGATGTGATGGGGTGAATGTGTTTTACACATGACAAGGGCATGAATTTGGAGGGATCTAAAGGTGGGATGTTATGGATTTAATTGTATCCCTCAAGAATATATATTGTAAATCCTCACTTCTACGCCTGTAAGTGTAATCCAATTTGGGAATAGGTTATTGTTGGTATGTTAATGGGATAAGGATATCTTGAGTCAATCTCTTTTGAGATATAAGAAAGCTTATACATACAAGCTAGCAGTGAAAGGTAGGGAAAGATTAACACCAAGTCACATGTAGATCTCTTACCATACTCATATGATGCTGACTCATAACTACTCTATATAATAAGCTTTCCCAGACTGTAAATCTTTATGGAAACAAGAAGCCTCAACTTTCTTGTATGGAGTTGCTGGTGGTTTTGAACTGCTGACCTTGAAGTGAGCGGTCTAAAGCATACCTGACAGTGCCACCACAGTTCCTGTGGAACCCACAAACAAACTGATGAGACCAGACCTCCCTCCCAAAAAAAGCCTTCCCCAAAAGCCAGCACTCTGGATTTGGACTTCTAGACTCTTAAACCGTTAGGAAAGAAATATCTGTTTGTTAAAGCCATACATTTGTGAAGAACTCGATAAATGTGATTCTCTTTATTGATAATATAGTAGTGAAAATAATGATACGGAAGTCCACATTCTTCACTGTATTATTGTTATTCTTTATGACTCACTCCTCACCTGTCAGTTTGTTGCACTGCATTGACTTGCCCTGTGGCTGTGAGGATAGAAGCTCTACCGCCGTAATTCAAATGCCAGCAGGGCCACCCAGGCTGAAGAGGTTCTAGTGAAGTTTTCAGGCTGAAAACATACTTTTTAGCTGCCATCAAGTTGGTTCAAAGCCATAAAGAACTTATGCACAACAGAACAAAAACTGCCAATTCTTCTACCATCCTCACAATTGTCCCTGTTTGAGCCCATTGCTGCAGCCACTATGTCAACCCTTTCTCTTTGAAGGCCTTCCTATTTTTTGCTGCCCCTCTACAAGAATGGTGCCTTTTATGAAGGTGTTCACTTCTGTGGGATTAGCCTTGAAAACCGAGTGCCAGTAATGAGCTCATCAGGGTAGACAGCATTCAAAATACCAATGAATAAAACAATAAAGATAAAAAAGTGATGCCTTTGAATTGTGCTGTTGGTGAAGAATATGGACTATTCACAGAATGTCAAAAGAACAAACAAATCTGTCTTTTAAAAAAGTACAGCCAGCATGCTCCTCAGAAGCAAGGATGGCAAGATTTCTTCTTATATGCTTTGGATGTTGACAGGAAGGCCCAATCCTGGAGAAAGCCATCATGCCTGGTAAAGCAGCACTATCTCGTTTCCCTCGCTGCCATTTATTACAACTCGTGGCCACCCTAGAGAACAGAGTAGAACTGCCCCTGTTGGTTTCTGAAACTGCAAATCTTTAAGGAATAGTAGTGAAAAAAAGCCCCCAGAGTAGTTGCTGGTTTTGAACTACTGGTCTTGTAGTTTGCAGCCAAACACATAACCTATTATGCCACCAGGACTCCTTTGTAGAGGATCAGTTAAAAAAAAAAAAAGGAAGCTCCTCAATGTGATCGCTTAACACAGTGACGATACGCATGGCCTCAAACAAAGCAGCAGCAATTGTGAGGAAGGCACAAGCCACTCAGTACGTAGGTCTGTTGTGCATAAGGTCATCAGGTTCAGAGCCGACTTTATGGCACCCATAACAAGCCAATGAGGCACAAGCCAGTAGGCCAGTCTAGCTGGGATGGATGGGACTGTAGGGGTAAGCAGTATTAAGATTAGACCTCACAGATTAGTATACACTTG